GGGGGGGGGGGGGTTGGGGTGGGGTACTCCCCTATATTCGCTATAAGGGTACATGCCGCCAAACAGGGTTTTCAGCGATTCTACTCTGGAAAAGTGTATATAAAATCGCGCACGCTCTAGGACAGGGTATATGAAATCGCGCTCTCTCCTCTCTGGAACAGGTATCCATTTTCGAGATACCGGAACAGGGTATGATTTTCAGCGATTTTATTGACTCTGGAACAGGGTCAGGGTTCAGAGGGCGCAGCGGCACATCCCTACCCTAAACGGGCAAGAGTACCCCCGGGCATGTACGACCTTGGCAGTTGACAGACTGGCCGTATTTTAAAGCTTGTTTGGTTAAGAATTAATTGCAATTATATAGGGCTTTTCACGTCCAGTTCATCTAATGTTATTAGATTTTTCGTTCCCCTTTATTTGCCGGATAATTTTAAATCAATACCCAAGCGGCAATACAAGACTCGAGGATAAAAAAGTACAAGTGATCTGTCAACCAATTGTAAATTTAGAGACCTATGATTAATTCGACTCATCAATATTATTACAATTATTTGTGGATTCAATAAAAACCTACGAAAGGTTTAATTGCTCATCAACTTTCTGAAATCTTGGTTCCTCAGATGAACAATTTTGACGATAACTAAAATCTTTGGTCGTTAATCAGAACAGTGTTTATTCTCTTCAGAGGTAATGGCTGATAACAACTCTGTTCCCCGCCACACAAGCGATGAAAATAAAAAACTACACACATACGTATGGTTCGGAGCGTTCTTTCCACTAAGCATGGTCATTACTGTTGGGAACTCCTGTGCTCTCGCAGTCTTCCTGAGAAAGGCATTTAGGGTGAAGAAATCCAACTATCTTCTAGTGAACCTGACTCTTGCTGACTTACTCGTGGGATTTTCATCTGCAGTTTTATCAATCATGAGAGTACTAGTTCTGTATGACAATTTTCTCGACTCCAATGCAATTGAGATAACACTTCTATCATGCGTAACTGCCTCAGTCTACACACTTTGCCTTATTTCACTCGAAAGAGTGCTAGCGGTGTTCTGGCCATTTCATCATCGACTCGCTAAAAGATGGCAATACTTCACTGCTATTGGACTGGTTTGGATTCTTTCTCTTACAACATTTTTCAAATATACCTCTCCGCAAATGAGATTGTGGCACAGGTTTTTGCATATTTCTCTCATATTTACTGTACTACTAACAATATTCATCTCGTATCTTTCTATTTGGATCAAAATGAAAATTTTCACAAAGTTTCGCCACTGCAGAACAATCCAGGAGAACAGTAAGCTGACCAAAACGCTGTTTATAGTGACTTTAGTATCACTGGGAACTTGGTTACCGAGAGCAATTTGGGAAAGTGTTTTGGGTACATATAATCTTCGTACAACAATTTTGAGCAATACTTTAGATTTCATACTGTTGCTAATACTTCTGAGCAATTCCTTTTGGAATCTAATCGTGTATTCAGTAAGAATGCCTGAATTTCGAAGAGAACTAAGAATTGTACTCTGAAAATATTTGTAAAACTGTTATCTTTAACATCCAATCAGCTGTAAGATGGAAGACAAGGGAACTTCAAATATCTGTCGTATTAAATCGCAAGTGTCTTTCTTCTTTATGTTTTTTTCTTTATTTAATTAAACCTACATGCGAAATAAAAAAGCACTGTTCACAAGGAAGAAAAGTGCATTTCTTCCTTTCATGAAAATAAATGAATAAACAATTTAGCATGATATATGGTTGACAGCATGTTGTTTATACAGATAGCACACATTAGAGGGCGAGTTATAAACATATTATATTATTATATTATAAACTGTAATGAAAGTCGGTCACTACTTATACTAATATCGTATACCCGTTATTACGAAACTATATTACATCAATCAAAAAAAAGATATAGTCCTAGCGCCGGCCGATGTTGCTCTACAGTTGCTTGGTAAGCTTTTCACAAGAGTCATCTCATCACCATCGCTTTTTGGAACGAAGCATCGCCCGACGGACAATAATCGGCTTGAGCTCAGCTCAAAGTCAGACTCTCAAGAATTTTGTAGGGAATCAAAACAACCTCAGTGTCCATCTTTGTACCAAGAAATCATGGCCGATAACCATTCTCTTCTCCGAAACAAAAGCCATGAAAATCAAAACCAAATCATACCTGTGCATGTGTGGTTTGCGACGGTCTTTTCTCTGGGTTTTGCTATTGCTGTTGGGAACTCGATCGCTCTCGCAGTCTTCCTGAGAAGGACATTTCGGGTGAAGAAATCCAACTATCTTCTAGTGAACCTGACTCTTGCTGACTTACTCGTGGGAGTCGCCAAAGTAATTTTATCAGTTAGGAGAGTTGTTGCTAACTCCGATGAAGAAGTTCCCATTCTTGTAATATTGCAAATGCTTGTTCTATCATCCATAAACGCCTCAGTTTATACTCTGTCGGTTATTTCAGTGGAAAGAGTGCTAGCAGTGTTCTGGCCATTTCATCATCGACTCGCTAAAAGATGGCATTACCTCACCGCTATTGGACTGGTTTGGATTCTTTCCCTTTTACCAATTTTAAAATATACCTTTCCGCATATAAATTGGTGGCATTACTTTTTTTATTATTGTCTCTTAATGACTGTACTCATAATAATATTCATCTCGTATCTTTCTATTTGGATCAAAATGAAGTTCTTCACAAAGTTCCGCCACTGCAGAACAATCCAGGAGAACAGTAAACTGACCAAAACGCTGTTTATAGTGACTGTAGTGTCACTGGGAACTTGGTTGCCGGAAACAATTTGGGAAAGTGTTGCGACTTTACAAGAGATTCCTGAGACAAAAGTGAACGGGATGTTACATTCCATACTGCCATTATTAGTGATAAGCAATTCCTTTTGGAATGTAATCGTGTATTCAGTCAGAATGCCTGAATTTCGAAGGGAACTAAGACTTGTACTCTGTAAATATCTGTAAAACTGTTGTCATTAACACCAAATCAAATGTAAAATATAAGACAAGGATTTAGGTAACATTAAATTGCAAGTGTTTTCTTTGTTGTTGTTNCCTCGTATCTTTCTATTTGGATCAAAATGAAGTTCTTCACAAAGTTTCGTCACTGCAGAACAATCCAGGAGAACAGTAAACTGACCAAAACGCTTTTTATAGTGACTGTAGTGTCATTTGGAACTTGGTTACCGAAAATAATTTGGGAAAGTGTTGCGACTTTACAAGACATTCCTAAGACAAAAATTAAGAATAATATAGATTTCATGCTGATTGTAATACTTCTGAGCAATTCCTTTTGGAATCTAATCGTGTATTCAGTAAGAATGCCTGAATTTCGAAGAGAATTAAGACTTGCATTCTGTAAATGTACCAAGAACTGTTATTATTAACACCAAACCCGTCGTCAAATGTAAAATGATTATTAAATTGCAAGTATCTTCTTTGTTTGTTTAGTTTTTTACATCATTAACAAAAATGCAAAATGACTAAAGAAAAACTTGAAAATTTTCTCATTTAAAAACAAAATTCCGCCCCACCTAACACAGCACTAGAACAAACCTTTCGAAATATTGAGAAAAGTAAGTATAACTCAGTTTTCCTATAGCAGCTGTTACCGCTGCTGCTGCTCATTGCTGTTATTACTGATTTTAAAAAAAACTCGCATATATATCTTAAAATTATACTCTTTCTTCGTATTTAAAAATCGATTGAAACGAGCAGTAGGGACGAACATCGACAGGCAAATATTCTGGGGAACATTTACAACAGAATTAAGGAAAAAAACCTACGAGTTATGAGACCCCGTTTGACAGACTGGCCGCATTTTTAAGTTTGTTTGATTAAGCAGTAATTGCAATAGTATAGGGTTTTTCGACTGTATATAACGTTATTACATTTTTCGTTACCCCTTCTTTGCCGGATTAATTTAAAATCAATACCCAAGCATGTTAAGGCATTACAAGACTCGTAGATATGAACTATACCTCAAGCACAAGTGATATATGTCAAGCAAATGTAATTTAGTTTATAGACTTATTATTATTTGACTGATTCCATGTTATTATATTTACTTATGGATTCAATAAAAACATACGATAATAATAATAGCTTATCAGTTTTTTAAAACTATCTTGGTTGTGCGGATAAAACGATAAGTTTTTCGTAAATCGAAACATTTTTTCTTCTTTTCAAAGGTAATGGCTGTTCTTCGCAACATGTAGTTTTGTTCGTTGTTTTTGGCGACTCCTTCGCTCTCGCAGTCTTCCTGAGGAAGACATTTCGTGCGAAGAAATCCAACTATCTTCTAATGAACCTGACTCTTGCTGACTTGTTAATGGGAGTCCTATTCACTGGAATTGGTTGCTGACTGATAATTTGTGTTGCAACTCTCAGTATTTCCGAGACAAGTTAACTGACTAATGAGACTTTTGTTTTGGAATCTAATTCAGTGTCAGAATTCCTGAAGTTCGAAGAGAACTATAGGACTTCTATTTTGTAAATATTTTCAGAGATCTTATCATAAACATCTATTCAGTTGTCAAATGTAAGGCAGGGATTTAACAAACCTATAGAATTAAATTGCATAGTGTTTCTTCTTTTTCATTTAATTTTCAATCATTTAAACAAAATGGGAAATGAAAAGAACTGTTACAATGAAGAAAGGTGTACCTCTCCCTTTCATGTATATGTTAAGATGGTAGCCAGGGTCCTGATAGGAGGGAGGGGTCTAGGATGTATGTGGTCTCCAACCCCCTTGGAAGTCCTTCCTCCCATCGATGTACTATACAATTTAAATAAATAATTTAGTATGATATATCGTTGACAGCATGCTTTTTTATGCAGATATAGCACACAAAAGAGGACGAATATGTTATAAACTTATACTTTTTAATCCGAGAATAAAGATATTTTTTCCCTTCAAGAAGGTCCAGCAGATCTGAAAAAGTGAAGTAGCAATGATGTCACAGCACAGCAAAACTGAGGTGCCATGAAGCCAGCAAAAATTGACCGGCGAGAAAAAAAAACATGCCTGCATACTTGATGTCTTAAAATTGCAGTCAGGAGTCACTATTATGTTTTTTTTTACTTGTTTTTCATGTTTTAAAATTAGACGTTTCGATCCATGATCCATGATCTTTTTTAGTATAACGGCGGTGTTTACACGATGTCAGCTCAGTAATGACTTTGATTTGATTGGAAAGTAGGCTGACTATTCATAACTTTGGCATTAAAAAGTGGTCCTGTTTATGAAGACAAAGCATAAAGCAAACTATAGTCCGAGGGTTGCCATTTTAATAAAGTCATATGTCAATCAGCTTTCATTGATCAACACTAGTGTCACTCCACGGCGGAATCAGGCGGAAGAGTTTTTCAAGAGTTTTTCTTTGCATATGTAAATTGAAGGACAAATTTGCTTTTTTAGTCTCTCAGAGGGATGGATTTCAACAACACATCGTCTTTAGTTGAGCCAAGAAGACCAGTTTGAGTTTCTCCTTGCAGCCACAATGCCTGATAATCGTTCTGTCCTACTCAACGATAGCACGACTGAAGATCAAAGCCGTAAAGAAATGATTTGGTTCGGGACTATCTCTTCACTGAGCTTGGCTATTATAGTCGGCAACTCCATCGCACTCGCAGTGTTTCTGAGAAAGACATTTCGGGTGAAGAAATCCAACTATCTTCTAGTGAACCTGATTCTTGCTGACTTACTCGTGGGAGTCTCAATGTTCTTTTTTTCAATTATAAGTTTTGTTTCTCTCGTCAATACCTCGAGGTATGTTTTGATAAAGGAAATTCAATTCGTACTGCGAGTGGTTAGCACGCTCCCCATATACGCCTCTATCTACACACTGGCCGTCATTTCTGTGGAAAGGGTGCTTGCAGTATTCTGGCCATTTCACCATCGACTCGCTAAAAGATTGCATTATTTCACTGCCATTGGACTGGTTTGGATTCTTTCGATTGTGGCATTTTTGCCGCATGTCTCACAACCTAGTTCTCAGAACAATGGGGAAAAAGTTAGACACTTCTTATCCATCTATGTCCTCGCTGTTATTTCACTACTAACAATATTCATCTCGTATCTTTCTATTTGGATCAAAATGAAGTTCTTCACAAAGTTCCGCCACTGCAGAACAATCCAGGAGAACAGTAAACTGACCAAAACGCTGTTTATAGTGACTGTAGTGTCACTGGGAACTTGGTCACCAAAAATAATAATGGATTGTGTTTTGATAATGAACTCTTATTTAAATCGTTTGATGACAGGGCTACTTCTGAGCAATTCTTTTATAAATATAGTGGTGTATTCATTCAGAATGCCTGAATTTAGAAGGGAGCTGAAAATGTGTTATGTAAATGTTCTAAAACTGTAAGATAAGAATAAACAAGGTACGATGATTTAATCTCCTTTTCAGGAGCTGGGAGAACGAAAAACACTTATATACTAAAGAGCATTACAGAATTAATAAACCTGTAACTAGAGCACAAGCGCGATGTGAAGAATTGGAAAGCTGGTCGAAACCTGTATCTAAAGCACGAGCGCGATGTGTAGAATTGAAGGCAGTTCATAAAGAATAAACACAAAGCTCGATGAAACCTTCATATCAAATGAGTATTAAATCGAATACGTCCACTTTGCTTGTTTGCTTTTGTTTTTCTTTACTTCGCTAAACCGAACTGGAAGATGAAAATGAAAGTTGTTTGCAGGAATACAAGTATACTCTTCCCTTTCATACCAATTTTTAATCTTTTGCTTTGGATGGGATTTAGGAGTTTAGCAAATGATGTGCTATTTATAGATGATCTCTTGTTCTCCTTCGGCAAGAGGCGAAAAGCGATAGGAGATAGGTCATTCCAAGATCCAAGAACAGCCGGAATGACTTGTGTTTCTGCTTCTTATTCTCATCAAGAACATGGACCTTAGTGTTGAGACAGATTCGATGTTGATTGTAGTCGACGAAATCATTTCCGTCTGGTAGTGACCTATCGCCTATCGCTTCAGGCGATGAGGTTTTTTTTTAAATAGGTGTATACATTAAGATTGTACCCGTTCGTAGAAGCCAGGCTTTGTACATAAATGTTATATTTCCTGACTTCAATTTTTAATTGTTGACCAAGGTTAAAGCAGTGAATAGCCGGTAGCTCAATATTAAAAAAGTTGTCCTATTCATGAAAACAGAGCATAAAGAAAACAAACTCTACAATGAGGGATAGCAGTTTAATAAAGTCATCAATCAATAAGATTCGATCAAAATGAGTGTCATGAGTGGTGGAATCAGGTGCAATCAAAAGACTGATAAACTGATCCCGGTATTACATGATTGCATATGGTTTTCATTATATATATTTTAATAAGGCGAAAGGATTTCTCAGGGTTATTACGTATTGCTTGTCAAGTCTCTCAGAGGGGTGGCCTTGGGTCTTGCAATAAAACATCGTCTTTAGTTGATTCAAGAAGACCAGTTTGAGTTTCTCCTCGCAGCCACAATATGCATGATAATCATTCTGTCCTACTCAACAATAGCCCGACTGAACATCAAAGCCGTATTGGAAAGATTTGGTTCGGGACTATCTTTCCTCTGAGTTTGGCTATTATAGTTGGCAACTCCATCGCAACCGCAGTGTTCCTGAGAAAGACATTTCGGGTGAAGAAATCCAACTATCTTCTAGTGAACCTGACTCTTGTTGACTTACTCGTGGGAGTGTCGTATGCAATTTTATCACTCATGTGGTTGCCGGCTACATATGACATTTTTTCAATCCTCTCTCTTGCAAATGAGATAACACTTCTTCTATCATCCGTAAATGCATCAGTCTACTCACTTTGCCTTATTTCAGTGGAAAGAGTGCTTGCAGTGTTCTGGCCATTTCACCATCGACTCGCTAAAAGATGGCATTACTTCACTGCTATTGGACTGGTTTGGATGTTTTCGACTATGATAATTTTAGGGTATGTCTACGGACTGGGTCCTCAGTCGACCACGGAGGAAAAGCTTA